TGTGAATTCTAGGCCAACTGGACGTTAATGAGAACACAGAGCCCCCAAGCCAGCCCTGCGGCCGGCGTCGGCGGTGGCGTTGGCAGAGTGCAGGGGACATTTGGGGTGCGGGTCAACTCCCAGCACTGGACGCTGACTTCGCCTCCCGACGCTCCTGTCGCTGCAGTGGCCTCGTCGCGTTCTCCCGGGAAGTACCAAGACTGAGTTTCCAGGGACTCGAAATACCGATGACGCCGAGAATTCCGGGTTTTTCCCTTTGAGTGAGAACCTTGAATTTTTGTTTTCAATCTCAGGAATCGCCAGCCACTTGTGCGAAATGACGGAAGCTCAGAGCTGGAAAGAAACCTTAGAAATAACTCTATTTTTCAGAAGGAGGATGAATGACCTCCTTTTTCAGAAGGAGAGACTGAGGCACCGGAGGTTCCGACTTGCTTCTGGCTGCACAGCCATGTGGTGGTCGAGAGCAGAGCAGAACGCGGGCTGCCCGCACGAACCGGGGTCACGTCCACTCACCGCCATGTTATCAGCACTGGACAGGTAGATTGTCACCCAATACCTGATACTCACATGGGAATCAAGCAGGCCTCTCAGACGCAGGAGTCAACCCCGCTCTTCACGTGACTCTGAGTGAGATGAGAACCAGTCTCGGCACCGGGGCTCTGGCCGGGTGACTGCAATCCAGCGGGAAGGCAGGTGAGCATCGACATGGAGGTTTAGGGGGACCCCGAGTGTGGTCCTCAGACCAGCAGGCTGGATCTCACCTGGGAACTGGTCAGAAATGCAGAAGTCAGAACCTGCCCCTTAGCAAGAATCCCCAGGCGATCTGTAGGCACGCTGACCATTCTAGAACAGTCTTCTCGAATTTCAGCCTGCCTCACGGTCCCTGGGGGCGGCTTATCAAAATGGAGGTTGCGGCTGACCCCAGACTCCCTGACACGCAGGTCTCGGGCAGGGCCTAGAGCTCTGCATTCCTCCTAAGTTTCCAGTACCAAGAATCCCGGCACTGTGTTCATCCCAGACTTCAGATTCTGCCTTCAGACGTACTTGGCTGATTCCTGAGTGGTTTGCTCATCTCTTGAATTCTCCCTCTCTCCCTCGCCTTATAAATTATTCACTAAACTTGTATTTTGAGAGTCGGCTTGGGAATCCACGCATTCTTCCCACAGAATTAAGTATTCGGTAAAAGTATCTTGACTTTTCGCTCACGTAGATGCTGGGACCGGGGTGGGAAGCGAGGCAGGTGCACCCTGCCTTCAAGGACCTTTGCGTTGAGGTCGGCGAGCAGAGCTCGGGGCAGGAAGCCCGCACACTGTCGGAAACGGCCCGTTAAGACACGCCTCGGCACAGTGAAGCCTTTGCCTGCGTTCCAGCCCCCAAGAATCAATCAGCATCTCCCTCTCTACTGCATCTCCCCGTCCCCTCTCTCTCCTGAGATTTACCGTTAAGAATGAACAACGGGACTCGGGAACTGGTGTTCGAGTCAGACTCTGAGCAGGAGGCACCTTAGCGGTCATCCCTCTCTGACCCACTGCCTTTTCCGAGGCGAAAACAGGACGGCAGCATGGGTGTCGCAAGCAGTTAGCCGCACGGCCTCTGCGACCTGGGGTCAGTGCGTTTTCGAAGACAAATGGCAGCCGCACAGACCCCTCCCCCCGAAAGGGTCAGCGCTCCGCGTCCTGTGTGGATCGATAGGTTTGATCTGCAGGAAGGATAATCAGGTTGCGCTGCGGCCGGCCTGGAGGATGTGTCTCCCTCTCAGAAGGAATGCCAGCCCCCTCTGCCTTCGGCAGCCGGCCTTGGCGACAGGTCAGTCTGGTGACATCAGGGATTTCCAGGTTCCTTCCTCGTGGGCTTCTCTCAAGCTGCTACAGGAAGAAATGTCGAGACACCGCTCCCCAGTGATGGCAGAAAATGAAATGGTGGGTCTCTGCAATGACCTGATTGGGCAGAGGCCGCCGTGCCTTCGGGATGGACCGTCAACACGCGCTCCGTGGGTCCTGTGTCGACAGCAGCCCCGGTCACCTGAGTTCTGTGTAGCAGGTTTGCCTTCAACCTGGAGAGAAATCTGCCTGCGTTTAAACACTTCAGCCTGAAACTCCTTCTGGAGGCTGGAGGGTTCTGCTGGCAGGTTAATTCAGCCTCGGCCTGTGCCTCTGCCGGACGAGGCCCGTCAGAGACGTGGGCTCCTCGCGCTGCTGATTTGGCAGCTCTGGGGCTCAGCGTCCTTCTCCCACGTGGCCCCCACACCTGGCGATGACCAGGAAGGAGATACCGTGGAGCTGGGTCCTCGCCACTGGGTTTCGCCATCGGCGAGGTCACAGGGCAGGTGGTTTCCATCGTGCTTGATTACGGGTCGGCCGGGACGGCCGTGCACGGTGCTGGCTGTCATTGCCGACCTGAGCGTCGGCTCTGGAGCTCGACTCGCCGGCCACCCCACTCCACCCAATGGTCACTTGGGGAATTCCCCGTGGTCGGAGGCAGGCTGTTAACCAGCGTTGGTTTGGCCAGTAGAACAAATAGCTGCCGTTTGGGCTGCACCTTTCATTAATTTCACCCAGTTTCTGTTTTCTTTCCTGTGGGAAGTGTCTTGGGAGGCTGAGGATCTGGGTCGATGAAGACAATTAAAATGCCAAGCGCCCGGCACAAACAGCAATTAGCCGGGCGTTTGGGGCCGAGAACAGCCCCGCACTGCCACCTGGTGGTTAAAAGTGTGCCTGCCTTCAGAGTGAAAGGCCACGGGTTTTCCATCCTGCCATCGATGGAAATCACGGAATGAATGGATATAAAAGGAGAAGAGATGATGGAGCAAAATAATGTCACCCGAAGCGTTGTTGTCCAAAGTAATTGTTCAGACTAGTTAATGGAAGGGTCCCCAACAGAAGTCCTACAACCTGGAGCGCCGACCCTTCTCAGGGCTGAATGACAAGTTCCCACCTGTCGTCTGAAATTATGCGGAGTTGGGGTGGGGGGCTTGCCCTCCTCCTCCTCCCTGCACGGTTCTGATCGGCCTCCCCCTGTGGATGGGGAGGGAGAAAACATGCACAGAGGGATCGGGGCGCCACACCCCCACCCCCGCTGCTGGATGCGTCTCTGGCCCTCGGCAATTCATGCCATGAGCCGTCGTCTCAGATCCTGGCGCCTGGTTCGTCGACATCAGGTGGCTCTGTCGTGTGTACAGACAAGGGGGCGAAGGGACAAACAAGTGTCTGCACGACAGAGGTCGTTGGTTCGCATCATGCTTTGGTCCCAGGTGTAGACCTTTGTCCTGGGTCGCCGTGGCCCGTGCCTGCGTGAATGCACTTTAATGACGTACGGCGGTGCCGGTTTGTGGTCTCAAGTGTGAAGTGAATTGTCCGTGGTTGCAGTGAGCCGGGAGAGAGTGCGCTGACTCTCGTGGGGTCGCCGCGGTCGGGGGGCTGGACACTCCAGGGCAGCGTGGCCGGCCGTGGCCGCGGGCGCGGGGCGTTCACGCGGCCAGCCCAGGTGTAGACCTTTGTCCTGGGTCGCCGTGGCCCCTGCCTGCGCGAATGCACTTTAATGACGTACGGCGGTGCTGGTTTGTGGTCTCAAGTTGAATTGTCCGTGGTTGCAGTGAGCCGGGAGAGAGTGCGCTGACTCTCGTGGGGTCGCCGCGGTCGGGGGGCTGGACACTCCAGGGCAGCGTGGCCGGCCGTGGCCGCGGGCGCGGGGCGTTCACGCGGCCAGCGCGGGGAGAGGGGAGTTCTGTCCAGCCCAGGAAGACAGACATTCGCGTGTTTGCCGAGCACGGGAAGCGTTGCGCGTCCCCCAGAACTGCGGGCAGTGTTCCTGCTTCCCCTCCGGCTCTTTATTTCTCGGCCTGAAACGTTCGACTGGACGTGACGTGTTTCACCAGGAGGAAATCTGGTCCCCTCCGCCAAGGTGGCTTCAATCCCCGCCTTTCTCTGAGCACTGTTTGTCCCCAAGCCACCGAGTGCTGGCTCGATGGGGACACCCAGTGGTGGTGACAGGTGCCTGCAGCTCTTCCAGCGAAACTGGCGAACATGGAAGACGCTTTGACGGTCTCTTCCGAGGAAAAAGGTTTTTTGAGTTGCGATTCGTTATCACGAGACAAAAATGTTTATCCGCGAACCTTATTCGTGAAACCCAAGATTCAGTTAAAGGCTGTTCTTTGTAAGGTAGAATGTTCTGGAACCGAGCGAAGCAGATGTCCTTTAAACAAGGCCTCTTTGATGACAGACAGTGGTTAACTTCCTATGCTACTCTATTTTTCAAAATCTGTAACTTAAAATAGTCGGGAAAACCCCTCTGAGCGTGTGCATTTAGAAGCATTGTGGCTGGAGGGGGGAGAGGTGAGGGGTGTCCTCAGGGGTGGACACCACAGAGGCCTGACGCAGACTTGTCACCCTGCCCCTCGGCACCTGTGACACCTCGGGGGGCTCGCTCAGGGTCTCGCCGTCAGCTTGCCTGTCGTCACAGGTCGTGCTCCGTCTGCAGCGAGTAGGTCTCGCTTAGCGCACGCTGCCGTCCGTCAGTCTGCCATGTGCGTACTGGGCGCTCGCGGACGCTCAGTGAAAGCCGGACCTGAAAGTAAACAGTCACGTGCTTGGAACAGGCACCTGTCTGCGAGGTGAATCCAGGGACCTGCTCGTCCATGGCTCGCACCCACCTCAAACCTAGAGGCACAGCAGGTTTGGGGAGCTAGGGAGGCACGTGGGGAGATGCAAACCGCACTTCTGTGAAAGTGCCGATAAATGCTTTACACTGTTCTGGGGCAGGGGGCAGAATCCATATGAGCATTGGTTTCTTTGCCGAGGAGAGCCTGGAGTCTTGCTTTATTTAAATGCATTAAGAATCTATCCCGTGAGGGGACAGAGGCCCGGGTGACGAGGAGGCAGAGGTCCAGTGGAGCCCAGAGCATGCCCTGCCCCGACCGCAAAGCCTTCCTCCCCACGGGGCTCACTGCGGCATGCTGGCACGCTGTCGCAGGACACGTCTCAGACAGGTTGGTCTCTCCACAGGAGGACGCAGCCCTCGGCCCCCATGCCACCAGCTCTGCAGGACTGACACTCGGCGGGTGCCACCACCTGCTCCCACCATGGGCCCCTCGGGGGGCGTGCTGGCCGGCGGACACACGCAGATCGTCCTGTGGGGAAGTCTGGCGGCCGTGGCCACTTGCTTGCTCGTCGCCCTCCTCATCTTCCTGTGCTCCAGCTGTGACAGGTGAGAGCCGGCCCCCAGCAGGCCCTAGGGGCACGCCCGTCCCATGGGGGACCCCACCTCGCAGGTGTCCTCAGACACCTGTGGGCCCGGTCGGCCAGCTTCTCTGGGCCGGGGGTCCCAGGCCTGTTCTCGTCACTGAGTGACACCCGCAGTCGATTCTGCTGGTGGGGGGCAGCTGGACGAGCTTCATGGAAGAAACCCCCGCTCTCTCCCGAGCACGTGCCCGTCCAGGTGTCTGCTGTCCCTGCCATCTGTGGACCGCTGGAAACCTAAGTGCCGTGTGCACTGGAAAGACTGTGTCTGCCGCCACTCGGAGTTCCTGAGAACGTCTGCTGTTACGTGGCTTTGGGGCGCGGGATCATTTTACTAAAGTTATAATCTAGAACTACAGTTTCTTAAGAAACGTGAGCTTCCCTATAAGACAGATGTGTTGATTATGAAATAACCATCTGTCCTTGTTTAGGGTGACACCCCTCTGTCTCTCCTGCCCCCTCCCTCCTTTCCGCAGGCCTCCCTTATGTAAAATGTCTGCTCTCCCTGAAAGATCTTTGCTGACGGAAGCACAGTGCTTTCCAACCAGGAATGATACGGGCGGCCTGCTGGTGGGTGGGCAGCCGCTGGGGCCGGTGCTGACCAGCCAGCCGTCTTCCAAACTCTTCCCAGTAACCTCAGAAGAGACTCAACAAGTGTCATTTAAGGGTCTGGATCAGGCAACAGAATACATTAGATTAAAGACTACTTTTTCTAAAGAAAGAGTCTGGATATGCATCCTACCCTAAAGTCTCTGCCCAGAGGGGGAAAGCCAGACTCCCGGAACCCAGGTACCTCCTACTCCTGCGCAGGTGGACCCGGGCCTGCAGGCCCCGCCGGAGTCTGGCGGGTAGGTGCCGCAGAGGCCAGCGGAGACTCTGCCCCGGCTGGGCGCACGCCGCTGCACTCTGCCCCGGCTGGGCGCACCCGCCGCTGCAGTTACTGACGCGCCCACCAGGGGGCGCTGTTGCCCCGCAGTCCGCGGGAGACGCGCTCCCCTCCCGGTGGCTTGCTTTAGAGCGCACCGAATAAAAATAAATTCTATTTTTACTCCGCGGACTTTTCCATAAACTGGAAGTACACATGACTCATCCCGAGAGCATGCACCCTCCCCGACGTGCCAACATTTGTGTTTTGTTTCATTAATTTCTCAGTCCCATTGCAGCGTGTGCCTGCAAACACTCCAAATTAAGCAAAGCGATGTCTGGATTTTCTTTAAAAATAATGATAATAATAATAAAACGATAATAATAATATAAGGCACCGTTCCTCCCAATATTCTAGATAATAATAATAGTAATATAATAATAAAAGGCACCATTCCTCCCAATATGCTAGACATGACTGTCTTCTACACAGGCTTCTGCCTCCGTCCTGTTGAGAGCCTGTACTTGCTACTCTGGGAGGACCGGGAGAACTGGTGACCGCCCCCCGCGCCCCCACCCCCTGGGACCAGTAACTGTCCGGCTTTTGCTTCCCCGGCAAAATGAACCTGGTTCTTAAAAGGGAGGTGTCGATGCTGCTAAAAATGAGCACCGGAGAGGGGAGGACGTGCTTGGTCTCAGGCGGCGCGTCTGACCTCACGGCGACGTTTTATTTTCCATTTCAGAGAGAAGAAGCCGAGACAGCACAGCGGGGACCACGAGAACCTGATGAACGTGGTGAGTGTGTGTGTGCCCGTGTCCGTGTGTGTGCACGCGTGTGTGTGTGCCCGTGTCTGTGTGTGTGCACGCGTGTGCGTGTGTGCCCGTGTCCGTGTGTGCACAACGTGGTGAGTGTGTGTGTGCCCGTGTCCGTGTGTCTGCCCGTGTCCGTGTGTGCGCACGCGTGTGTGTGCCCGTGTCTGTGTGTGTGCACGCGTGCGTGTGTGCCCATGTCCATGTGTGTGTGCCCGTGTCCGTGTGTGTGCACGCGTGCGTGTGTGCCCATGTCGTGTGTCTGCACACCTTTGCACACGCCCACGCATGCGTGTGTGCGTGTGTGCGTGCAAACATCGGGCACTGATCCAAGCGTGTTCCTACAAGCTTGCGACTTCCTTCAGGAAAGGGTCAGCCGCAGGCCCCTGGCTGCCTGGGCCAGGTCCTTCCTGTGGGTGGAGACGGCCGAGGCTGGAGGCCGGTGCGATCGGCAGAGCTCGTGGGAGCCCCGGCCTGCAGCAGGCTGTGTCTGCTGTCCCTGTGCAGCCCCAGCCGGGCGTGTCCGAGTGTGTGGGTTTGTCGGCGCCGGCTTAACTAGGGCTGCTCGGATGCCAGTGCCATCCGGCAGCTCTGCAGGCGGCAGATCCGAGACCGAGGAGCCGGCGGGGCCGCCCCGGAGCCTCTGAGGGCCGGTCCGCCCGGCCTCTTTCCCCGCTCCTGGGGTTTTGCCGGCCACCTTGGCACTCCCGGGTCCCTCCCTGTGTCACTTCGTATGGTCCTCTTTGGACGCGTGTCTGTCTGTCCAGGTTTCCCTTTTCATAAGAACTCTAGGGTGACCTCATCTCATCTGAACTGCGTTCATCCGCAATGACCCTATTTCCAAATAAAGTCACACCCTATGGTGTCGGGGACTCGGCCTTCGACATCGGACTTTGGGGGCCTGTAACAGCTGGCCGGAGCCTGGGATGCCCAGCTCACTGGCAGTGCCCGGCCTTGCTGGGTTTTCCTCGGCCCTTGGTGTCTTCCGGCTGCTGACAAGCCCCGAGGGCGTCTCCCACCCACCCCTGACTCTGAGGAGCAGCCTGGTCTGGCCCTGGCGTCCTGGCCCCACCTCGTTCTCTCCACTCAGGTTCACGCCCTTGACCGCCCTTGACCGCCCTTGACCGGCTGAGTGGTTTCCGCTGTGGGGGGGCGGGCGGGCAGAGGGGGAGACCCTGGTGTTCGCAGGGCGGGCTGCACCATCCAGCCTGAGCCCCGCGTGGTGCCCAAACCGAGGTGCTCCCGCCCCGGCAGATCCTGTTGGCGCTGGCTCAGGCTGCCTCGCTAGTTCGCGAAATGCGTGAACTGCCGACTTGCTGACCCCACGTAGCAACAGCTCAGCCTCGCACGTTAGTCCACGTGACTCCTACACGTCCACTTCCTGCCCGGAAGAAACGTCCCCAAGTGCCCCGAATTGGTGAGAACAGGAGAGGTTTGCAGACCTGCTTTTCCACACCGGGCTGTTCTGTGCCCTGAAGCAGGGACTGAGCCGGTCACGAAATAGTCTCAGAAATCACATGATCTGCCATCGAAAGAACCGAGTCTCTCCCCTCTAGCTGACAAGGACGATGCTCTCCTGTGTTTGTCACAGCGTAGCACACCTGGGGCACAGGGACGAGGCTGCTCCTCACGATGCTGGGACAGCGCCATCCTCCCGACCCCCACCCCTGGGGCAGAGGGTTCCGTAGCCGACCGGACACAGCACCCACGAGCCGCCCGTGGCTGCCGAGCACCTGAAATGTGCCCGGGACAACTCGCAACTCCGTTTCGCCTGATTTAAGGCCGCGTGGTGGGCGTGGGTCCTGTCGCTGCCGTCTTGGTGTTCAGAACGGGATGCGGGTGCGGGTGCTCCCCCGTGCCGGCCGCCCGGCTCACCGCGGTGCCTTTGTCTTGCAGCCTTCGGACAAGGAGGTGTTCAGCCGGTCGGTCACGAGCCTGGCCACGGACGCCCCTGCCAGCAGCGAGCAGAACGGGCTGCTCACCAACGGCGACAGTAAGTTCCTCGGACACGCCGGCTTTCCACACAGGCCTCCGCGCCCCCGAGAGGACCTGCCAGCCACGGCGCAGCTCGAAACCGAGCACGGTGTCCTCGCTCCCTCCGCCCCTGCCGTGTGCGGGCCGCGCCTGCCACGCTCACGTGTGCCGAGGCCACGTGGCCCGCCCGTCCGCGTTTGCACTGGTGGCTGTGTCCACGCAGGAGACGCGCTCCGCGATGCAAACAGCACCTCCCCGTGTACAGAGCGCGGTCCCCTGAGGCAGGCGGAGTCCCCTCACCCCGCTGGCCGATAAGGAAACCGTGGGGCAGTGGGTACTGACCCCGAGCCTTCGGGCTCCAGTGCCCGTGCTCTGCTGCCGGGCACACACGTCTAGAACCGGAGGGCAGAAGGCCCCTCCTCTGACCAGTAAGTGTTCGGAACACGAGGGGGTGTTGGGTCCAAAGCCTGGGGTCCACCATCATTTTCCCCGGTCGCCCTTAGGGTCGCTGTGTGTAACCCCCTGAGATACACAGCCCCTTTTCCGCGGACAGGAGGTGAGCGGTGCACCGGTTCGCTCACTCGTTTGATTTTTCAGGCACAAACCCACCGTGGTGCCCGCTGTGTGTTAGACACTGCCTGGGCTCCGGGGGTCTCGCCAAATCCGGCCTAGTCAGTAAAAAAAAAAATTAGCTAAAAAAATATAAATTAGAAACACACACGTATGTAAAGGCCATTTAATACATAAGCAGCACAGCACATAAGCATACACGGCATAAGCGTGTGCGTGCGTGTGCAGCTATGAACCCACAGCCAAGCGTGCGTTCACGCCGAGATGTCCGTCCGCCGCCCACGCGTGTGCGTGGAGACACAGCCGGGGGGAGCCAGGCTCACTCTGTGGGGTGTCCATCTCCTGCCCCCAGCACCCAGCGCACAGGGGGCCCGCAGATCACGCTTGATCGGGGGTGGCCGTGTGTCCGCTCACACCGACACTTTGTGGTACTCAAAGAATGTCACTTTGGGGTTTTCTCGTGTGAAGTGGAAATGGGGGGCGGGGAGGGCAGGGCGTGCGGGTCCCCTTGTGACCCCGGTTTTGGGCACATTGTTGCCCCCCGGTTCCATCATGTCAGTCACACACAAGAGACCTCTGCAAGGGGATGGGCACTGCCAGTCCCCCCCTAGAGGAGGAGGCCGGCCGGGCCAGGGAGAGGGGCCAGCACGCTGCGCCCCCCTTCCGTGCCCAGCCCCCACAGTCGTCCCCAGTTACGTGAGACTCTCTGCCCACTAGAGTCCCCTCACGGGTGACAACAAGGAGTGAAAGGAACTGCAAACAAACTGGTAGCCAGGGCAACTTAGTGTCGCACGGCGAAGACGTATCGGGCGGCTTTAGCTTAAACCATGACTGGCATAAAACCGGCTGCAACCGTAGCGTCTGTGGTTTGCAGCCTGGAG